ATATATATATATGTTTGTTTTTTGTTTTCACCAGAAGCTGCTCTTCATATTTGTGACAGTTTCTAGATGCCATTTAAGTTAAGGTAGTCCTGTGGCTAGTCCACACACTGAGCTCTTGATCAAGTCTGAATTATGTTTTGTGTACAATTGATTTTTTTTTTTGGCGGGTTGTCTTCATTTTTGACAACCTTCACTTTAGCGTGCCACGTAAACGGTGGTTTTTGGTTCAACTTCATTTCGTCTTTACGGATCGTGGCCGGCTTCATCTGTGATTTACGAACGACCCGAGGGAGCATAAAGACGGACTGGTCTGTGCGACCATTTCATGGAACTGTTTAATGAGCCTTAAATYCCTGACTGTTGCTGAAATTGAGTTCAGCTTTTGCAGAAAACGCAAACGGACCTAAATCACTTCTCCTGGGGGGGAATAAAACTCTCCTCTCTGGCTGCGTCTTGATATGCAGCGAGCTGGAGCGATATACTGAAAGGTCATCATCACACATTTATACAATAGGATCGGTTCCCATATTTGGGCAATCTAAGGTACTTTTTCAGCAAAAATAAAAAGAATGAGATGTGGATTATTGAATTTGATAAAGTTATTGTGATATTCAAAAATAATATTGCAATATCTTGTTTTTCTTTTATGTTGCAGCTCTAGTATGTGAGCAGTGGTGTGGAGGGCTACATTAGACAAACATTTACTTTGTGTTTCAACCTGACCATTGTTACATGATTTTKCTGTAAACAGAAGAGTCAGTCTTTCTAAAGGCCTGGGTTTCTGACATTGAAGGAAACGTATCATCCCAGCAGAATAACGTGTGTTATTAGGACCTGCAGGGTTAAGATAGCGCCGAGCAGTTCCCTTGATTTATTGTTCCATCAGTGGTGTTAAGGTCACAGACTGACTGAGAGGAAGAGACTGTGTGGAAGTGAGTGTGCTTTGACTCCTCATTGGCTGGTCTAAACCCCTTCTTTTCCTTTGTCTCATGCAGCTATCGGTAATTTGGTATCCTTTTTTATTTGATTTTTAATGGTTGCCTGCAGTGAAAAGCCCCTTTGTTTTCAGCAGGAGTTGCTATAACACTTGTAAATCCATTAGGAAAAAAATCAGAGATGTTGTTGTTAACTAAAAAACTAATAAACAATAAGCTCACTGGGAGTWATGTTGTGAAGGTGCAATGATGTTTATTTTACTTTTTAGACTGGATAAAGAGAGGTGAAGCTTTAGGTTTATTTTAGGTATTCATTGCTAGTATCACAAGGGGAGAAAAAAAAWGTTAAAATAAAAAATACCTTGGGAAAAATATCTCATTAAATTTCCCAACAGGAGTACATGAAATTAATCCTGATTGTGAGAGCTGGAGAAGGAGTGAGACTGTAATGGTTAGCCCCCCAGCTGTGCCCTGCCAGGCAGAAAATGCCATGTCAGAACATAGTATTCAAACACGATTCAAATAAAATACCATTTACAGCACTGCAGTTAGTTCAGTTCGCTTTAGAGTCAACATTTTCCTCTAGTCTATGTTTTTATTGAGTTAAATACAGATTTTACACAAATGCCATAAATTTGGAAAAACAATCCGCCTTTTTGTTGTTGGTCAGAGTTTCAGCAGAAGGGTAGTGATTGTGAAAGAACCCTATTCTTTCTTTGCTAAAWGTTGTATTGTAACAGTTCGGGCCTCTTTAGTTTTTAACATGTATTTCAATTACTGCCCAAAGCTTTATAATATACTTAAATATACCTCTTTCCCAGATTTACACTGTGTGCAATGCTCCGAGAAGCACGCCCAATAAATCCTTTGATAAATGTGGAAGTCAAACCGAAACAATTCATTCTGTGGAAGATTGAGTCAAACAACAGTTAAAACTGCATCGCTGAATCTAATTTTGGCAGATGGTTGTGTGCACGCCACCACACTGCGCAGGCAGTGTAAATGCTCTAATTGATTATAATGGGTGCATATTTATGGGGGAGGTTGTAGTGGAGCCGTCGCAGTGTAAATTGGGGGTTAAACTAAAGGTTCTTTCAAAACGGTACCAAAAAATGACCACACAGGCGAGTCTCCATATGCTGCCATAAGTCACTGTTAAGTCACAAATAAGGGGGAAAAAAAGCTATTTTCTTTGTGCTTAACAATTTTTAAATTAACACACAGAAATACACTTTACTTGAAATTAACCATCTAGCTTTAATCAGATAAATAAACTGTCCACGAATGCCATCCAGATAGGTTTGATGCACACGTTTAAAAGAGCATGTTTATTTTYACTTTGGTATAATTGAGTTATTTTCCTGCAGTGCGTTGACCTTTGAATTACTTTAGAGGGGTGTTAAAATGCTTCTGTTGATGCCTCTCAACAGGCCAGTGACTGATGTGATAATCAAAGTGTTAATACCACAGGATGGTTTAACACTTCTGTTGGCATGCCATGACCATATCAAGCCGTTGATATTTCCAACCCACCCCAAAAAAGGAACTAACTAAAGAATTGCCAAGTTGCCAACTTGTCTTTATCTGCTTTCGTTGAAAATTAGTCCACATCTGTCCCAAATGATCAAGAATTTTCATTAAAATGCAATTTGGAAAACTTCACATCCAATGCTATGTCATTTCATTTGGAATCATTTAAATTCATCAATTTATTTTTTATTTAAACAGTTTGACTGCTTTATTAGAGCACAAAAAGCTTTTAAGTCTGCCTTTTTAAATTATTCTCAGTTATACTTTTGTTTAAAAGGGCCCAGGGGGTGCATTATAAATCAAAAGTCTTTATATCCATCTGCTACACTTATCTAACACCTCTAACTGTGGCTATAATAATACACTAAGTACTTCACAAATCCAGCCTAAATCTTTAAATGACAAAACTCACTTCATTTAACCACACCCATATGTCTCCGTTTTGTCTTTTTCCTGGCAGCTGCTTCTTTAACATCTTTTTACCAAAACACCCACTGTCCCTCCTCTGCACATGTCCAAACCATCTCAGTCTGGCCTCTCTAACTTTAGCTCTCATTGTTAGAAAATAGTTTTGACTTGTTTGATGGTAATTATTTCTCTCACCAGCACCATGATTGCCCCAGCTGTTTTCTCCCAGTAGAACTGCATGCGATCGTAAAGACMCTGGGATTTTGCCTAAACTACATCTCTCTTTGTGCGAATCATATTGTCGCAGCTGCTTGCCAACACCCCAGATCAGCAGCATCAGATTGTAAATGCCCACATGGATTTAGTGGCTTAAAAATGCAATAGTGTTGTAGAGGGGATGTAAAGTCTGCAGTTTGACCCGGGTGTAATTGCATGCCAGCACAAAGGATTTAGCCACTAATGCTTTTGAGAGGAGAGTGCAGGAAAACAGAAAGTACGCTGACACATCACAGATGGTCCACAGCTACTCACTCCTGCTCAGTCCTGTTAGTCAGCTGCTGCCTGTCTCGGGTCTTGTAAATCACACCCATCATGGTAACTTGGCAGAGTTCCACCCCGGCCCCCACCCGTGCACCTGTTTCTAAATTTGTTTATGTGCTGACTTTAAAGGTGGAAGCATGGTTCCGATAAATCTCATTAGGGCACAATGGACCATAAGGCTTTGATTAGGACCTTTTTTTCCCACTAGCACATATTTCTTTCTTTTGTTTTTTAGTTTCCAAACAAAGCTTCTGAATCGAGTTGAGTTCTTATTGTTTTGTAAGTTTTAAGCTACTGAGGCCTGGGTATGAACCCATATTCCCTCTAAGGGGCCGTGTACTCTGGTTGGATCAGACAGTCCGAGTGGTACACATGGGGCCTGAGGGCGCTCTGCCAGACTAGCTGCTTCGATACTTCCTCTCCCTCATCATGACCCCTGTTAGATAACATGGTGCCTCACAGACAGAAGCTAGAGGAGCCTGGTAACTAAAAGCTCTGCCCCTCGTTCTACTTTTAGAAACTCTAGAAACCACAATAAACTTTTAGGAAATGAGTAATCTATGAAAAACACCAATTGTAAACATTTTGCTGGACGATAAATTGTCTTAGTAATTATTGCGATAAATGATATTGTTTGAAGACTGTTTTAAACTAATATAATGGTACCCCCATATATTAGTGGAGGTTTATGAAATTTACGTAGTGTGAAACAAGAACAACTCTGGGCGAACTCAAGATTTGGCACAGTACCCTGGTGGCATCCTGAGGCGAGGCCAGCTGAAAGGTGTTGGAAAACCAAAGATGCTGTTTGATATGAATGCCTGTTCATGAAGAGTTCACTCCTCCCTATGCTAAGGAGAAGAAAAGAGGGTGGCATGAAGGAAACAAACTAACAAGCAGACAAATGAAAATGATCAACCTTATACAGGGTTCCTGCAGATCCTTAAAAAGTCTTAAAAGTCATTGTATTCATCAATCCAAAAATAAGGCCTTAACTGGCCTTAAGATATCTTTAATCAATCTTTCAGAAGTGTTAAAAATATAAACATATTGTAAATATGACGATTGTAAATCATCTCAAGTATTAAAATAGTTGGTAACATTTATTTTTTTAAATATTCACATGCAGACATGCCCCTTTGACATCACTTGCAAATACTGTATCTCAACAACTGTTCATCTGAGCAGTGTGAAATTTGTTTTGTAATATCAAAAAGAAAAAATTTGTATAGGTCTTCTGGACGGGTTCTTCTCTAATGAAACGTTTYGTCTCTCCTCCAAGAGACTTCTTCAGTCTGAGAGTTTCAGGCAAAATTCAGGCTTTTAAGCCCTGCCTCCATGTGACTGATACTCACATCACATGGCTCATATCGTTGACACCTAATTAACACCTATTGTTAACAGGGGGTGGAGTGATACTGGCAATAGCAGCACTGTAGGAGGGGGACAACTGAAAGCGGAGGCCTCCACCTCTGTCTAATGATGGACGGTCTTTCTTCACAAAAATGGCTTCTTTTACTCCTCCCTCAAACCGACGTTCCTCTCTATCAAGAATGAGAACATCCTCATCTCTGAAAGAGTGACCGCTGGCTCTGAAAGAGTGACCGCTGGCCTGTAAATGAGTGAAAACTGCAGAGTTCTGGCCATTAGATGTAGCTCGTCTGTGTTGGGACATTCTTTTGAACAGTGGCTGCTTTGTTTCCCCGATGTATAACTGGTCGCAGTCCTCCTGGCACTTAATCACTTACTCAGACTGAAGAAGTCTCTTGGAGGAGAGACGAAATGTTTCATTAGAGAAGAACCCGTCCAGAAGACCTATACAATTTTTTTCTTTTTGATTTTTTTACCTGGATTACTGAGATGCATCAGGACATTTTGTAATATGTTAATAATGTTGTCTTTCCAAAAATGCATTCACTTTTCTTACAAAAATTTGATGTCACAGGCACTTTAAGGTTTCATCTACAGCAAATTGGGGTTAAGACCCCACTGTGGGTCCTAAAACTCCAAATTTTGGGTCGTGAGAGAATTTCCTGAAATTAAATCGAGTTTAAAACTGACTGCTAAGAATGTTTCTTCTATTGTTAGATATGGATAAAAACAATTGGTCTATTAGCAATATTTGAATACTTCAACCAAAAATATTTTGATTCATAAGTTTCTGTCAGTTTTTATTTTTTATCATTCGTGTTTATTATGAAATTGATCTTAAATTTAATTTCACTTGGCATTAAAAAGTCTTTAAAAGTCTTAAATTTAACTTTCCTTAAACTGTAGGAACCTTGTTATAATTTATTGTGCAATCATTTGATTCATTTCTTATTGCGGCAGGCCTAATCAACTGATTTTGTTTGCGATGTGCTATATCTTGTTTTCAACAGTTTATAATCTATCGTCATGCCAAAAAATGTTTTGAAACTTTTTATTATTATTTCAATTGTTCTGTTAAATTGTTCTCATCTCCATCAAATGCTCTAAATTTGTTACTAGGTTACCAGGTTCTGTTGTAAGTGTGAGTTTGTAGATTCTTGCATTTATTGTGGGGATAAGTCAATAACATAATACATTTCCTTTGCTCAGGTGAACAAGGAAGACATTCTCCAGATCTACAAGATCTGTCCAATCAATACTTGTCAAGGTAGGTGTAAAAACAAATGTTTGAAAACTGCACAATATTAGTGAAATGTGGCAGAGGTTTAAATGTGTATTTTTTTGGACGTTTCACAGAAAAAACGCCTTTCGATACACACCTGGACTGTCAGAAAAGAGCGACGACCCGGATAGCGAACAGGATGACAGCAGCCCCATAAGCCCCATTCCTCCTATCTTAGCGAAGACCAGCAGTTCTGAGTGGAACAGCTCAGACGACCTCATTGGACCCTTTTCTGAACAAGAAGATGCCGGCACTGTTCACGGGGACTCTTTGTCACGCAGCTATCTCCTTCCTTTACCTAAAAAAACCTTAGGCTCTAATCTGTCTGGCATCCACGCCGGACCAACGGCGGCGCCAGCACGGCTGAGCCCCCGTAACGAACCCACGAACGGTTCGCACAACACCCTGCAGAGGTGGCTCGAGACACCCACCGAGCACAGGCTTTCATCCGACGCTAGCTCCAAGTCGGGCTCATCGGACCAAGACCGAAACGATCTGTCAGCCAGTGAAAGCGATGACAGGTTGCCAAGTCCAAACCCAAGAGCCGGTGACGGTACAGACTCCCCGTCTCAGACCGAGAAGGTCCTCCCCACCACTTTCTTCTCTGTGGATAGCTGTATGACGGACACTTACCGGGCCAAATACCACAAGAAGCCCGGCTTGTACAGGAAAGCAGAGGACCATACCTCATCAGGGGAGAGTGACGCTGAAGGGAGGGGTATCAGCGCGATGAAGGCTCCGCCCCCTGTGCCTTTGAGAAGCAGAACAGACGCAGGTATGTAACATGTAGCATCAAAAATCCTTTCAGTGTGAGGGAAGTTAAACATTYTSTTGAAATTTAGCAAYTAGTCTGAGTTCTGGTTCATTTAGGTGGTGTTCCATCTGAGAACCCCAGTTTTAATGTTGACTTCATTCCCCTCTCTTTGCAGGCCGTTCTAATGCAAAGCCTATTGCAAAGTGGAACCCAGTTACTCCAAAAGGCCTCGACGAGCATGGCTTCCTGTGATCGGAGCGAAGTTTTCGACCAACTTGAAATGACTGGATGCCCATAAGAAGGAGTGCTTCACATTTTTCTTGTAGCAGAAAGTCAGACAGAACTGTAGGCCAAAGAGATTGTCCACCGAAGGACAGTTGTCTGTAATCATCCATGAGGCTGCTGAAAGCTTTGATTTGTAACTTTGCACAGTAGAGCGACACAAGGGTACTAAAATCTTTTATTTTTTATTTTTTGCTAGACTTTTGGAGCTTGGATAAAATGTGTAGTTGAAAACAAAAAGTAAAACATGTTTCGTTCATATTTATTTTCTGCTATATCTCATTCGGTCACTTTTGTTTGTTTTTACTTTTCCCATTTTCAGTGTTACGAGGTGCYAGTATCAAATCTAAAAGTCGTTGGGGTTTTAAAGAATACAGAAGGTTCTTGGTATATCGTGGAAACATTGTCACCCTTCTAACATCAAATTAATATCAATATTCTGTGTTTAACATTGTTATAAATGATCTAAATTCGGATTTTAGGCTTATGAGAGGAATTTCTTTTGTGGTTTACGTGGTAACCGTTATAAATTAAGAGTTTTGGTTTAAAACAGACTTGAAGAAAAATTTAAAAAGTACTTACAGCCTGACACATTTAGCAAATGACTTGATAGCAGTAGGTCTAAGAGGGTTAAAAATCATGTTGAACAGTTTTATTATGTGGTAGAAACATGTACAGCACACCTGCTTTTCATCTGTCCAAGCACTCCCATTTTGCTTTATTGTTTTTAACAGTTTWTCTTTAGAAGAACTGGTGAAACAGTTTCTATGTAAGTACTCGCAGGACTTGAAGTTGTCACAGTGTAACACATGCAGACTGGGTTTGCTGTTTATTTGTTTGTTTTCAGTCGGTTATTGGTTAAAAAAAACTTTGCAGGTGTTCGTCTCGATGTTTTATACGTGCAGCAGACTAATTAATGCACAGTGCCTTTTGTATTTTTCTAAGTGAGGCGAAATGAAGCTGGATTTGTACAGTTCTTTGATTTTAAAGAATTTTTGTAACATTTAATTTTATTTTTATTAACGGGTTGTAAATAAAATGTTTTATTTAACCTTATTTGTGTGTCAAAATTGGATTATTTTCGTCACGCAAACTTTAAAATAACTTTGTTTATGATTTCCGAACAGAACCACAGAGGGAAAAGTGAGAATTTGCTGCCATCTGCAGTTCTGAGCTTTAATATACAAGCAAACATTRAAACCACCTAGAGCACATTAATTTTTCAAAGATTAAAAATAATGTAAGGAGATCTCAAACTAAACATTTGAAAAGGAAAGTAAAGAAGTAAAAAAAAGATATTTATTCCTACCCTTCTCAAAACCAAAGTACAAAAAATTAATTATTGTTTCCTTATTCTAAATCACATTTGATTCATTAAGATCAAAACAACCAGTTTGCCTCTGAAGTTATGACAATTACAAAATAATATTGATACTTTTCTAGACATTGGTGTTTTTTATTGTCAAAATATGCATTACTACAATCATACATAAGCCACATTCACATTCTCACATAATATATTCTATACATAATTATGTATTGTACACATTACATTATGGTAATAGTTTGAGACATAAACTAATTGGGCTTTTATGGAAATTTAGTAACACTTGTGTATTTTCTGAACAGTTCCACACGGCATGACTTTTTTTTTWAAATCATACATAATGTCCCCAATAATAAAATATGGAGTGATATGTTTCCTACACTCAAAAAAAAAAAAAAAAAA